TGAATTTAATACCTGAGATAAGTGTACGGGTTTTTATACGCGCAGTCTTGAAACTTTCCGATCGCACCTCGTACATGAAAATAAGAGCGAAAATATTTTAATATTATTATGCTTTTATCTTATTGTGCTTCTCCCGAACAAACAACAAATAAAAAGATGAAATATGTTTAATTTCAACGCCAGCCTTAGTCTTATAATTTGACATCTCCCTCAGAGTGAGACGGGGAAACTAAAGAAGACAAACTAGTTAGGATGTTCGACTTAAGAGAGTTCAAGTAATACGGAGATGGAGAAATTATTTAAGGGAGCGGGTGATTATACAGCTTATATATATTGATCTAATATTGTTTAATGATTCGACAAAGAATGAGATGCTTGGGATGATATTTATTTATAGGATTTGAGACTTTCGCGGCGAGTACAACCAATAAAATCTTATCGGGCAATCAGCCGCGTTAACTGGTTACCGTAGTAAACCGACGTTTCGGGAACAAACTCTGTCCCCATCTTCAGGGTTCTGATATGACTGGATCCTCGGAAGTCGCACAGGCCGGATAAGGCGCTCCTGTTATGACGGCAATGATACTTCAAACTTAAACAGACCTAACACGCAATGACGAAAACTCGAGCGACGTTTCACAGTTCACAGTGGAAGCGAGAAGCTGTGTCAGGCCTTTATGCGTTTTTCGCACGTAATGAGCAAATGGGCGCATAACAGGGAGGATGTCTCTGTCCACCCACATGTTATATCTCCTAAGATTACTAAGCAGCTGCACTACTCAATAATCTACCCTTCGCAGCGTTTTTTAAACTTTCAATTGAATTCAATTTTATTTGATTATCGATTGCCTGATATAACTGATTATCGTGACAGTCACGTGACTTCAAATCGGTCTGTATATAACGAGGCTGGGAGCGACGACTCTGCCATCACGATGGCCCCCGCCAGGACACTGTTGTTCCTCGTGCTACTCCTAGTAGTGCCTTACGTCTGGCCTCAAGAGACTACAGACGGTGAAGGTGAGTGGTTTATTATCAACTCTATATTTCCATAATCAAAACTTGAAGTCGGACAATCAGGAGACACGTCATTTCAACCTTCGTTTGAGATCCAAAAGCCTAGAAACACCGTAAGTTTTAACTGACGCTTATTTCAGGAAAAGGTCTGTATAGTCAACATGATACCGAATTCTCCTTTAACAGAGGAAGAAGAGACCAGTTTAATATGGAAGGTTCTTGTAGCTTTAACAACGAACTAAAACATTTTAAAGTAATTTAATCTTTCGAAACAAAGAAATTTATCGGGCATATAGAGGCAAAGGTAAAAGTAAAGGTGAAGTTGTCCCTGGAACGCGTTCTTAATCTTGCCCCTAGAAGGGAGTGGTCAGTTTTACGCCTCGGCAGCCTTACTCCTCAAGAAATAATCCAGGTCTGTGGTTAGCTACACCATGGGACCAGGGTTTCTGTCTTTCCCTTTTTTACCTCAAGACGGAAGAAGATACACTTTCCGAAACTTAATTTTATTGAAATACAGTCCAAAATACCACTTTCACAAATCCGGCATCCATTTGATAGAAGGCTGTGTAGGCCCAGAACTGGTCTGAACATTGCAATAAAAACAAAAAACAAAAACTTGTTCCGCCGGGAATCGAAAGCCGGTCGTCCAGTCCTTAGAATAGTCACGCGAAACGAATATAAGCAATTCTGCTTCACAACAATAATTTATTATGCAAAAGTGGGCCAAATTCATTGCATGAAAGAAGTTTTTAAATGTGGAGAAGCAAGAATTTGTGCAATGTACAACAACCCTTCTCTTTCTTACAGGCGAATCGACCGTTACAGCAGAGACCTCTACAATAGTAGCCGATGACACTACAACGCCAGAAGGTACAAGTACGACAGAAGATACAAGTACGACAGATGGTGCTGGAATAGCGTATCTCAGTGGTTTCACGCTGGCATCTTTATGTGTTATGACAATGAAGTTATAAACACGCAGAATGAACTCTCAAAACGTTTAACTAATTTTGATCCACGCCAGAGCAGAATAAGGAAAACTTAGTTTCTGATTGAGGTGAATTATCCACAGTTTGTTGTTTACACAATGTTGCACTCTTTGTACAAAATAAAATAATTAATCCTGCATGTAATATTTAATCTTCTCACTCACATTTCGTGATAAATACAGTTGATTTACCGTGGATCATGACATACGCGCAGTCCAGCTGCGCGTATGTCATGCGCGCAGCTGGACTGCACATATGTCATGATCGCGCAGTCCAGCTGGACTTGCGTCGCTATTGCGGTTAAGCGATAAGCCAAATCGCTAAACCGTCATCTCTGAGTTTACAGGCCGACTCACAGCTCCGTGCCCTGTTATAGAGGTTTACATTCTATATCCCTGAATGATAAAGAGTACTTTTCAGGATTTCATCGTGCTGGTCCTACATAATATCAGTGACGAACATTGAACATCCATCTTCATAAAATGCTCGGTACATTATTTTACGGTGACCGCTTAGTATTTTTAGCACAGGGGGGGTCAGACAAAACAAATTTTTGGTAGGGATAACCACCTGCGAAAGAGATCAGTTGGAACACCATGGAGGAGATAGTACAGTAATATTACAACCAACCTTGGCAAACAGTTTGTGCGCGGAGGTGGAAGGAACTTTATGAAAAAATTGCGTATTCGAAATGAAAGTAATAATTTATTTTTGGCATGTGAAGTGGCTTACACATACGTGATGAAGCGAAAATTTTTACTAACAGCGAAGAACATCAGTTTTCCTCAACAAGAAGGAATGTCTTAAAGATTACATACAAAAGGTACTGACTACTGGGGCATTGTTTGAGAACGCGACCCTAGTCATATCTGTAAAATCGTCTGGAAATACAGAGGAAAAGAAATCTCAGTTTCTGTAAGAAATTTAAAACAAATTATGGCTCTAATCCGGTAACTAAAAGTAGCCAAACGAGGAGTACAATGGCCAAGGCACTGAAATGAACTTACTTACAGTTAGGCCATACCTGAGTTGTATACGATAGGTCTTCTCCGTTCTCAGCATATAGAATTTCGCACAGTTCATGTTTGTTTTTCTTAAAAACACTGGACGATCTTCAGGACGGAAACATCTATCTTGCCCCATGAGCCGCTTTTCCGTCGATCGTCTATCACACTCATCTCCTGGGCGTTCTACGGTGCGCATATTGTATGGCGGAGTGTAGCGGATTTTCGGCGGGACGGAAAGTGTGAATCCGTTTCGCTGTACCAGAAAACACGGCTGAAATAAACACTCAAGCTTTTCAAACAACAGATAAATACCGCGCTAGGTGACCACTATTCAACATTTCCACATTTCAGACGTCGTCTTAGTACACTTTCCACCATATTCTAAAGAGGTTCCAACGCACATAAGAGTAACACTTGCTACTTTTCCAGATTTTATCGACACGTTATTCAATCGACTGTCACTTGTTAATCCCTGGCATCGATCCTGTTCCCGGTCACTGTACATGTTAATATTCTTTCGATATATCGAATAAGGCAGATTTATATAATCACAGCACTTCATTATACAATATTAGGTAAGACACTGCCAACTTCTGAATATAAACTGTAAGTTGGCTTTAACAAATTTTTGGACTCCGATGCCTATTTTATACAACAATCCATTTTCAACGTTCCTGACAAACACAGCAATTGTGAGAACCCCGGTTGGCAAAGGTCCACGGCCTTATGGGAGAACAAGAGTTAGGAGAACTGTGGTCAGTGTTAACACTCATCAGAGACTAACCAAGTTACTTGTTCCTTCACCAAATACAAAAATTCATGCACAAAAGTAATATAAAATAAAATTATAATTATGTTTATGATGATAACGACAACGATGATAATAATAATAATAATGATGATGATGATAATAATAATAATAATAAACGTCATGGAATGACACCACCAAGGTCATCAGAACGCTAGAGAACTACTTACAGGTGAAGTCACCAGATGTTTCCAAGCGCACAAAATAAAAAATCTCGGACACACAAAATCCAGTATCGCAGATGGAAAAACTGAATACAAGTGACAGATCAGACAGGTGACATTTCAGAATAACAACAGACTTTGAACCTGGAGTAGAGAAAAAAGCATTGTCCACATTTTCAATTTGTGTATTCTTCATATATTTGTTACAACAGCATTTAAACACTGCAAAATGATTCATACAAAATAACATTTGTACCTTATCCATTTTATTGGAATGTTATGCAATGTCACACTCTATGTTGTCCCCATTTACCCACTGTATCTTTAGGAAATCCTATTTTCATAAAAATTTAGTCCTCAATAGAGCTGAGTCTGCTCTCACAGTGATAATGTTAATGTAGTTAAAATGACAACCTCAAGAAAAGTGACGGTTTTCTTTCTCTCAGGAACAGAGAAAAACAGAATACAGTACAAGTTTACACGTGTTATTGTCCAAATGAAAACATGTAACACAGTTTAACACTTTTAGTTTACAATTTAGCCTACAGACTAACTTCAATTCAGTCTTTTTTCCAGCGAGATTGGAGATGAGTTGAAGTGAGACCTGAGCATTCTAAGAATGTTTTGAGACAAGAAAATAAAATTCCGTTCAAGTTAAACATTATCAGCTTGTGGTAATTTAATATGGCATTGGGCTTATCACTAAAAATACACTGAAACTATTGTAATGAATAATAACAAAAAAACTCTAAAAATCATAATAGGACTGATACTGAGGTATATAAGTAAATATTAAAATAAATGGATCATTAATTGTAGAGATCTATTTTCTGGCTGCAGACTGTAGGTCATGACGCAACAGCAGCAGCAAACCTATATTCCACTTTTAAAGGAAATTTAGAAAATCTCATTGCCGGGTTTGTTGAAATGAAAACAAAGGAATTGTTCACTCTGACTGTTTGTGATTTTATTTATGACACGGAGTTACTGTGACTGGATAGAGGACAACTTCTGCATTCTACAAATTTCGCTTGGCTAGGAATCGGAAGACAGCAGAGGAAACCACATTAGCAATAGACTTTCTGTTGCGCATAAAGGATCCTATGTAGAGATATTAGGGGTATTTCAAAAAGAAATTAAAAAGACTCCTATCAGTTCTGTAATTTCAGGTTTACCTATCCATCCTATAGTAAGAGAGCAAAGAGACCAACTTTTATCATACTTGCCACAGTACATCCACACTAAATTTCATTAAATTTTTTTTATTATTTTTTAGTATGGTTTATTTTAAGGGGAACATTACTCCTACACTACATGAAGTTAGACTTATATTTTTTCAGTCCTCAGACAGATATTAATAAAAGTTTAAATATATCACTTTTATTATATGTCTTACAATGTCGAAGTTGCATTTGCTTTAAATTCACTTTAATTAAGGTACATTTTATTTAAGAATCTGAATGATCATTCATGTATACATTCTTAGTACCCTGGCATATTTTGATAAAAATTATATATGACACTTCAGTATTTAAACATTATGCTGTTCACTGAAGGCCTAAATACATTTGTGGATGTATTTACCTATTTGCCTAAGATAAAAATATTTTGAATAAATTCTGTAGGTATGCATAAATTAGGCCTATATTTTGTCCCTTATGATCTGTGGAAAAATCATAGTAATTCAAAGGCAATCACTGCTATAATTACACCTAAAAATATTGGCCACCAGTACCAGTCTGAGCTCCTGCTGTCAACCTGCCATCTAATAGATGTTTGCTTTATTTACAAAAATATGGCAGATACCCATTATGCAACAACAGAACAAATTTATTCTTGTCTTTTCCTAGATAGATGAAGACAATCTACTCATTTTTACTTGTGTCGCAGACAGATATGCTGTTCAATTTCATTTCCCCAAAATTCCTTTGTACACTCTATGTGAGTTCTAGATGCATGTCAGTTTTACGGTTAATATGGAGACGAGTAATGGAGTGCAAGTTCTGGGATACAGTACACTCATCAGATCTGATGTCTGTAGTGGCATCAGAACCACACTTATAACAGATATAAATTCTGCATGCTTTACAAATGTGAGTCAGCTGGGGGCTCAGAGTACACCAATCTGGGGTCTGAACTTGAATGATCCATAGCTCTCCTCAGGATCATCTCTTGCTCACAGCTCAGGCTGAGCCGAGTTGTGCTGCTACGTAGAGGATGTGGCGATCCCCTGGGGCCAGCAATCCCACCAGCTGAGATGCAGGGAATGGGTGCTACCTGAGACCTCTGTGGAATGTGGTTCATCTCTGCAGTGTGCACGGGCGCGCACCCGACTACTCCCGACCCCCCTATGGAGGTGACCTTACAGTTTGGTGGGGCTGAGTTGCCACTTGAGAAACCCACATCAGCCCCTTTATACTTTGCTGCTTTCTTTGTACAAAGACCATGCCTGCTAAAGAGTGTAAAGAGGTCACGCCTGTACTGCTTGGTCAGCAAGGCATATAGGTATGGATTGGCACAAGAATTGAGTGGGTAGAAGAATACAAGGAGGATCTTGGTGTGTGGGACATCGATCAGAGGATACCCTGCCACGGCAGTCAGACCAAAGAAAGCAATAGGGGCCCAACAGGCAAAGTCAGTGAATACTAGGAGCGCCATGCGTTTGGCCACGGTAGTGTCTGACCGGGCTGCAGCTGAGTTGTGGCCACTGATTGCACAATAAATGCGTCCATAACATGCGCATATCAGAACAAATGCCAAACCATTCATCAGGAGCAGGCTCACAAGGTACACCTGGTCACCCAAGTCACGATTTTCCATTGGCAAGCAAATGCTGAAAACAAAACAGTGTTAATGGCAAAACACAGATATCCGTTCCTGTCTTCTCACACTCTTAAATCTAAATCATGCAGTTTATCCAAGTAAGCAGCAAAGTGTCCACATTTCAACACAGTGAGGTCTTAGAACATACCTGAGAATAACATATGTTTCAGTATTTCTTAAGCTTTCAAAGAAATTTGAAATACTTTATAACTGTCAAGTAGAAACAGTATCAACATGCAAACCTACAATACCTTGAGGTGTAAGCTCCAGCAGAACCATCAATATTTCCTTTATGCTTAAAATAGTAACAGACTTTAAAAGGGTATGCACTTTTAATGGATCAAATCTTTATCAAAACAGAAAATAAAAACGTGGCATTTGCACGATATATTTTCGGTTCGTGAATCACTTTCTGAAATACAGATTTGGATGGAACTTTATATCCTTTCTTTCACCACACTCACATCAGAGGAAGTTAACAGATGGGGTTGGATATTGATGGGAGAAAACATTCAACAATTATTAATCCTGTAAAGGAATTAAAAGGATATGGACAATAATTTTCAAGTGTATATAACATTCATTCATTCTACCTCATCTTTCTACACACTGCCTTGCTCTCAGGACTCCATACACACATAAAGAGACGTTTTAAAATATCTGAGATTAGTGGCCAAAGCCCCTTTCTAGTTTTCTTGTATGAATATTTAATATTTGAAAACAAACTGCAGGCTGGTAAATACATCTCATTTGTCATGTAAATTCTGTAGAACAACAGTGTTCAACCCCTCTCCTGTGTACCTTGTCTTGGAATAACCACTGATGCCAAGAAGTGGCAGCGTGGCCATTGCTATAGCATACAGCCATCCAGCAGTCATGACCTTGAATGCTGTACCGAGTCTTAACCTCTTATCCAGGTGCAGGGCATAAGTGATGGCATACCATCGCTCGCTTGTTATAACAGCCAATGTGTATATGGACAGTTCACTGGCAAATACTGTTAGGAATCCTGCAATTTGACATCCCGGACCTGAAACAGCAACAGAATGCAACTAGAGACAACAGAATTGAACGTTATTACTGTCATTGTGTTTAAAGACATTCACTTTCCAGACTTCCAGGTATCGTATAATGTGACCACTCTCAGGTTAAGAACAGTAACAGAATGGAACTTGAGGCAATAAAACAATAATTCAGTTATTGCTGTCAGTGGGTATGTGGACACTAACTAGTAACACTGCCTTAAACCTCGAATCAGTTATAATATGTTTATTAACAGCTTTTCTGTAAATGAAAAAGGGACACATTTATGATGTCAGTATGTATGCAACATATATATAAAGTTTGGAGATTTAATAAACTGTGTTTTGGCACATATATGGAGTAAACATGAACATAATAAATATTTGTGAACACATTTCAGGAAACAGTGAACTTTATTTACTTGAATTTCTTTCTTTCCAAACCTATTTTGAGATTTCTTGAACTGTCTTATGCAGCAATATGTCTATATAACTCTCTCCACGACGCAGCGCTCCTTCAAAATTTTACACTCAATCAACTGATGAAGCAAGTTCCTGCTCTTATGTTACCCAGTCGTTCATTACCATGTTTATAAAAGCATCACTAACAAGTCCAGACGTTCCCTGCATTTCCCCATTTAAGCCAAATTTCAGGTCTCATCAGTTCAATAACTGTTGCACTATCAGTTAAAGAAAAAAAGTAAATTATGGAATTTCTCATTAAGAATTGATGCAGCATTATTAAATTACCTATTAGTCAGTCAGAGGTTACTACGCACCCCGCTGCCAGTCTATGGCATGGTTGAAATATGCACCAATGGACCGTGCATCCATGCAGGCGATAATTAGCAGGTAAATGCCCATGCAGAGATCTGCAAGTGCCAGGTTGCACATGAGGAACTTGGACACAGTCATGCGAAAGCGGGAACTGAGAAGCACCAGCAGCACAGCCAGGTTCCCCACGAGCGCTGCAACGGCCACCAGCCACACAGCGCCTCTTAGTCCCCAGTTGCCCATCAAGTCCTCACAAGGGTTGAAGGCGTCAGGTTCTGGGTGACAAGACACATCCCGAGGTGATCGGGACAGATTTCCGCAGTACGCCTGGATCAGTCGTGGGCTGACGGACACCATGCTCTGGTGAAACACGCCATCAACACTTGCCGGGTTGGACTGGGACTCTAAAACCAGATGGGTCACTGCTGAAGAGAGACACACCACTCGAACTATCTAGGTTGGAATATATATCTAAAACTACACAGCAAAATCAACCCTCAGCCATGGATTGGCTGAAAGAAAAGTGTCTCTATTATTGGCTTATTTTCAGTATACCTGAAAACACTATTAAACATATATTTATTTTATTTATTTATTTAGTGTTCTGTCTGACGACAGGTCCATATGAACAGGATCCTTCCATCCTTTTCTCGGACTGGGACCTGTTCATATACGTTCTTGGCAGATGATCCAGAAGTGGTTTGCCATTGCCTTCTTCTGTGTGTGAATGGAGTAATTGTTGGGATGCCACGGAGAAACCGGGGAAGCCCCCGGAGGAAAACTCAGTGTTGCCTAGACCACGGCCTTGCCCAACACAAGTTATAAATTCGGGCACCGCCGGGAATCGAACCCGAGACCCCAGGATTACAAGGCCAGCGTTCTAACCTCTAGACCACCGTGGCGTTTAAACATATATATCCCACTTTAAAGACTACTAATGGTTTTATTTGATTTAAAATAATCGGGATTTTGAGATCAACGCATTTTTTCAAATAACGGACATCCATTGTAAT